CAGAGTCGAGTCTGTGGGGTTAACACATTTGAAAGCATCTATGCATAGGCAATTTATAGCGTCAGATGCACATGAGCCCTGAGAAGCACAGCACACAGACAAACTATGTAGTTCACTGCTAGGATCACGATGTGATGGGGGGAGGGGGGGAAGTGGCCGACCAGATGAATGAATCTATACAAATGCATATTTGTTCAGGGAACAAAAGATTATCACACAAATAGCAACTTAAACACAGATGTGCAGACTCCCAGGTCATGACACAACACCCTGTGTGCTCCTTCCTCCCAATTTGGGGTATAATTGTACCCAAATTAGAGTCACCTTAGATAGTCCCTGATCTTAGAAACATATCATTGGAGATGATTTAATTGTCTTTAATTGATAAGAACATTAAAGTATGAAGTGAAGATAGGGAAATGTTGGGGAGACAGTGATAACAGATATGAGATGTGAACCTCCATCCCTATCCCCACTAACAACGTCCAGCATAACAACAGTGAAGAAAGTTACAGAGAACCGCCAACCCCACAGACAGGTCTACCACACAGGGTGAGGAGTTAACCAACTGAAGGTTCAGCTTAAACAAATGGGGCAAAGTTTCCTCGGCTCCAAGGCTGCGTGTATATAAAAGGGTTGAAGTTGTTAAACTTGAGGATAGGGTTACAGGCTAGAACAAGGCTTCCCAATGAAAACAAAGTGCTGCTTTGACAATCTTTGTAGGTGTCCTCCACAGCCCAAAAGATGGGTGAGCTGTGCTTAGGAAGACTGGGTCACAAGAGCACTGGCTAGAGGTAGGTCAAAAGTTCCAACACTCCATTAAGGTGGCAGTATTTTAAAATTTAGTTATAACAATAAAGGAATATGATTGCGTATATGTAACCTTGTCTACATCAATCATCCAATCTTTCATTAGGCAATTGCTTTCACACCTTTTGTCACAAAACACAGTGAGTCAAGAAAACCACTATATTGTAACTTTAAAATTGACAGCTGGCCTCTCAATGCAAACACTCAGCTCAATTCTCAAGTGCCCTTGGGACATCAGGAATATTCTCTCATCTTGGGAATATCAAAACTGCTGCTTTTCCCCCTCAAAATGTATTAGAAGACCCTCTAGTGTACATTGATATGGTGCCCCGAGGATGTCTCTATTTATAATGTAAAACATCTCATGCACAATTCTGGTTCCAGGCAGTTGTGCTCAAGGCAGAACAGAGTGTTCTGTCCCCAGTGAGTTCCTCAGGTGCCCCCCTACAATGCAAATTACACTGCCCTCAAGGTACCCTATAAATTAATTATAAAAATCTAAAATAAATAACAACGTAACAAAAAAGTTTGTCTTACTAAACTCAAATCTATTCCCCTCACTCAGTGTAACTTTTATATAGAGCAACGGTCTCCAGAAGAAACAATAAGATTGCTCACCTGGTAAGGGCCCTTGCCACCAAGCCTGATGGCAGGAGTCTCATTCCTGGAACACACATGCTGGAAAGAGAGAGCTGCTTCTGTAAGTTGTCCTCTGAACTCCAGACGCACAGAGCTGCCCACATACATGTACACACACGCACGTACACACTCACATGCATACACACACGCACACACACAGCATGCATGCACAAATTATTTTTAAAATATGGAAACGGTGGACTCTAGCCTGCTGCAAAGAGTTTTCTTGTATACATCTCTGAATTATACATTAAGAATGTTAGCAGAACGATGGAACCGTGTAAGGATGGGTGTTTCAGGTGGAGACCTGTTATTAGGGTACACTAATATACACTTTACTATAGTCACAGAGAATCTCAAACCACCTTTTAAATTCCTCTTCTTTGAGACTTTGCTTCTGATTTTCACATTAATAATGAAAGAACATGAGAACAGACTGAGAATGATTGTTTTCATATATTCCACAGCGTGAAAACATGATCCTTAGGAAGAAGTATGACCTCCAACATTCGCCCAGCTTACTACCTCGCCAGATGAAAGAGAAAGCAGCAGCCCCCTCCACCACCCCACAGCTCCTAGCAGGCTGCAGGTGGGATGTGTCACCAGCAGCCAAGGGAAAGGGTTTGGGAATATGGGAACTAAGACATCTCCAGGCAGGAGCCTCAGCGCTTGTCTGCCTGCTTTTCTGCCCAGCAACAAGACGCGACATTACTCAGAGAAATACCCATCTAGAACCCAAACACAACTACAATATCAAGTATCCAATCTTCAGCTGTAGGCACAGAAGGATGCAGAGAACAGAGGTAAATGAATTAGCCAGGTGAGTGTGAGGAAGAGAGAAACTGGCCGGTGTTTTCAGAATTGAGCTTGGCGCTGAAAAAAAAAAAAAAAAAAAAAACTCCTGAAATCTACTGGATGGTCCTACAGCAGAGTAGATACCACATACAAAACTTTTTGAAGGAAAATGTGTGATAGTGACCAAACAAATGAAAGATGGAGGGAAAATGGCTGGGAAAAACCTCTAAGACCCTCAAATTGTCCAACCAGTGGGTATGGACCTGAAATCCAGGGGAAGAGAAAAGATACTGAAGAAACAAGGGCTTGAAAAATCTCCAAATTTGAATATTTGTTGTTGTCGTTGTTTGTTGTTTTGCTTGCTTGTTTGAAGTATCTCCAAAAACATTTCAGTCTTTCCTGGGTGAACCTAATCCTTGCGGGGAGACTTAAAGCCAAAACTCAAAGGCAGCGCTGGAAAATTCACATGACATCTGAATATTTTACCCAAAAAAAAGAGAAAGAAAAAGAACAGAAATAACAATGTTTAACTCACAGAAGTGAATTAAGGCTGAAATGTCATGTGGTATTTTAACCTTATTCTGAATTTTCTTGTTCTAATCAATCTAAATCAGGCCTTAATAATATTTAAATGTAGCTACTTGTAATTCCCATAATAGGCAAACAAAAGAGAGGTTAAAATAATTCTATTATTTCACAATGATGAAACAGACTGAATATTTCAATTATTCTACTTATTATAGTACACATAGAACAACACTCTGTAATCTGCTTCGATATATATAGGCTCTTTAACCACTCCGCAGTGGGACTCATACAGTCACTTTGGTTGAGCTGCACTCGCTGATTCAGTGTTGGAATAAAGTACTTCACAGATTAGCTTAGTCTGCAGCGCTTAAAGGTCAGGATTTATTGTAATGTAAATCACAAAGCAATTTTATCTTGACAGAGATTACATACTGTTACAATATTTCTCGCTGAATCTAGTGATGCGTTTGCTTTTTCTTTGCAACTGCTGTGCAAATTGGACCGTAGCCCAGAAAAGAAAAAGAGATGGCAGGCTGGTTTGGCTTTTTAGAAACAACTTAATTCTCTCCATTTTTCAAAGTTCCACAAGGAAAAAAAAAATTCTGAAAATACCCATAAAATCCTGCAGAAATACTTGTAAACCTTTACAGAGCCTGAGCTCTCCCGTACACAGGTACCCATGTGTGGCCATCTCTCAACCGTTTTGGTGTGTTTTAGGAAAGGAAGCAATTGCTAATGACTGATTTCTTGCCATACTGTGTAAATCATCTCCATTTTCAGCAAACAAACAAAAACAATAGGAAGAACTCTGCTTCCCATTGAAGAGACTACAAACAAAAGAAAAGACCGGGGTCTAAACAAAAGGTGAGGATATGGGAGGGCAATGCAGTCTCCAAGCCAGTGAAGGAGAGGGAGACACACACTAGAATGTTGCCCTGCTTCCCTGTTGAGATTCACCCTTAGCATGAAAGGGGCTGGACCAGGTATCAGCATGAAATTTGGTTTCCAGGGACTAGAACAATTCAGTGTGAGGCCGACTTAGTGCCCAGATCCTGAGGACCCTCTCACTATGGGGCCTGTGATCACTATGCCTCAGATCACTATGGGGCCTGTGTCCGTCAGTCCAGCCATCCACTAGAACAAGTCCGGCTTGGGACCCGCTTCTGCTAGATGGGAACTCCGCTAACTTCTTTCCCTTTCTTACAATGAAGTCTCTTTCCCGAAGCTCACTGTTCCACTGTCCATGAAATTCACTTCTGAAAGTCATAAGGCAAAGGGGCCAGAAAGCAAAGGCCCAGGGTGGCTTTGGTGGCTGTTGAGCGTCCAGGACCCAGGCTCCACGAGTCATGCTATCTGAGGAGGGTTCACCACTGCCGTCTATTCCCGTTAGCTCTTTGTCCTTAACACCAACAGGCACAGCCGCCGCTCATTTGTGAGGTGCCTCTGTGTGGGAAGAACATGTCTGGCTAGGACAGGTCTAGCTCTGCCCTCCAGTAGTTATCAATCCCTCCTTTCCTCTCCACCAAAAGGATCCCGGTTTGGATGCTGCTCTAAACTAGTGTCAGGTGGCTAATGCCTCCAGGAAACTGGACCGTGGACGTGGTTCTGACCAGTCTTATTCTTGTCTGCTAGAGAGCTCTTCAGCAGAGAAAAATAACGTGTTTTCTTTGGCACTTTTGACTTTATAACATGCATTATTTTATTTATTCTTCTAAATAACTCTGTCTCTAGACTCAGAACTCTGAATTAGAAATGAGGAAATGCAGTGAGTCAGGGAGACTCACGCGGGCCTCCTACAGCTACTGCCAAATACATTAGAACTCCATCTACATCACTGTTCCATATCACCTTCTTAAGGAAAATTGGGGGAAATGGAGGTGTTGAAAGGAAAAAACAGGGTTGGAGGAGAAATGGTTTGATTATTTGGGGTTTCGCTTTGTTTTGAGAGAGGATCTCGCTATGATGCTCACACCATCCTTAAACAATGAACCCTCTGTCTCAGAATCCAGGGTACTAGAACTACACATATGAATCTGCCAAGCAACACTCTAAGAAACCATTCTCTTCCACGGAAGATACTGAGAAACTGGACATATAAGAAATGGACATATATGAAACACTGTTGCCAGAAACACTGAGGAGTCCCACATTGGATGTCATATGCTACCAGGGAAATTATGGAGTTTCCCTTTGAGTTTTTCATTTCGTTAATATAAATGGACTCAGTGGGAAGCTCCAAGACATTTTTATCAGTGTTTGTTAGAAAACAACTGGGAAAGCAAGCTGCAAGTCTCAGGAGCTGCTGGACGAAGGTATACCTCAATGAGAAAGATAGTCATGTCTTCTGGCTTAGACTGGCATGCTTAGTAACGGAGGTCAGCAAACCACCACATGGCAACAAGCTGCTACACGGCAGAAAGGGAGTAGCTTCAGAGGAGTGAGACAGCCCAAAGTGCCAAAGACAACATGGTTAGATTTTGGCCAGCATCTGAAGAAAGAAATAGAAACAGAAAAGTTATGTTTTCTGAGTTAGGATTCAGATAGGCAGGCAGAAAGAAAGAAAAAAAAACTCATGAAATGAAATCTGTAAACCCAAGAAGGAGAGTGCATTATCCCCATTAGGGGAGAATTATTCCTCCTATAGTTTTAGTGTAGCTTTAGGTGAATCAGCCTGCATGAGGGGATATCTCTCGGGCAACTGATTGACAGGCCCAACTAGATTAACTCTGAAGGAAGGAGACAGTGATATATAATGTTCCAATCTTTTTTTAAAAATATTTATTTATTTATTATGTATACAATATTCTGTCTGTGTGTATGCCTGTAGGCCAGAAGAGAGCACCAGACCCCATTACAGATGATTGTGAGCCACCATGTGGTTGCTGGGAATTGAACTCATGACCTTTGGAAGAGCAGGCAATGCTCTTAACCTCGGAGCCATCTCTCCAGCCTGTAATGTTCCAATCTTTAGAGCTTATCAGAATGTCATGTCTCCACCTAGGGCCAGAGGGATTCAATTAGGGAGGGACCCATCTTCCATGGCCTCTAAAGATTCTGCCACATTTCCCATCGAGGGTGGAGATCCTGAAATAATGTAGAAGTGCTGAAATTTGGGGATAGTTGTGGCTGATTTACACCATCAAAGCACAGAGGTCTAGCTCCAAAGCTATTCACCAGCAGGGATTAAAGCCTAGACTGGTGTCTGTCATATTCTTGGGTATAGCTTCCACCCAGAGATGCTGCTACAGGAGTCAAGCAAGCAAGGAATCAGGAACCAGACAGAATTCTCTCCTGCCTTGTTCAAGGATATTTCTAAAACTGAAGCTCTTGAGGTCCCTGTCCTAAGTTAACTGTTTTCTACCCTGTCCTTATTACCAGCACCCTCCCAGGTCATGAAAAAGACACATCTTCTACTAACTCTGTTATAAATACTACTTTAATTGCCAGAATTAGTCAACAGCCCTGTGAGATAAATCAGCTTTTTGTTTAGCCCTGAAAATATAAGCAGATTCTTCATTAGAAATGAAATTTACATCTCTGCCTTCTCGGCAGATGAAAAGGGAAGGATGGGGAGGTACAGGCAGCACCCCTGTGTAGTCTGGGAGACAGGAAGAGCAGGGAGGAGGACAGAGAATAAAATAGCTTGCCTCTCTGCACGCCCCTCTTTCCCTCCTGCGCCACCGCCACCGTGAGTGCTATGCCAAGCACATCCACCCTCCCTGCTCATGGGGGAGGGCCAAAAGCTTTACATTACACCACTGGTTTACACCCTGAGAACCGTCTTGTGAGCTGCAAAATACACTTTGAAGCAACTTTCTAAAAGGCACGTCTATATTTACCAATGTGTTCCACATGATTAAACTGTGAAATTTGTCTCCAGTTTGGCAATACCTTAGAGAGATGTTGTGAGGTTTAGAAAGAAAAGGCCTGTGAAGTGCCTTAAATTCCACGGAGGGGAAGCACGGTAGACTTCCAAGGTGCTGTTACACTCCCTGAGGCTCCGTTGGTGCAACAGCAAGCAAAAGCTCATAAGTTATGATGTCACAATGTTGTCATGCAGCATCATCCACAGTGAGACCAAGAAAAAGCTGGTTTTTTTAAGAGCCTCTCTCCCCTCCTCGGCTTGCTAAAGCATATGGTCTTCAAAACTAGTTCACAGTGAACTTCATCTCTGCCGCTGCTGTAAATGAAGTTTCTTCTCAGGCAGATGTCAGTGCTAAAAGTTTGGTACTCATAAATACCAAATTTACATAAAATCTATATAGCTTTTTGCAAAAGTCTTTTTGGTGGGCGTAGGCTTGTCGGCTGGGAAGCCTAGTGCACTTTCTTCTTCCTGTAGTCATAATACATCTCACTAATTGAAGAAGCAATGATTCTGACTGATCCGTAGATGGTACTCTGAAAGCCCTCTCTGGCTTTAGTGCCATCTGTCACACTGAAAGAAATTACAAAGTGTACAGAAAGAGATTCTTGGACTATGAAGTTAGACCTGTGGTTTCAAACTATGGGTCACTATTTATGAAAAATGCACTACAGAATTCAGCGAGAATTGACTGCATAAGTATTTTACTCCCACAAAAACAACTTCTTGATTATCAGAAATGGGTTAAATCAAGATGTGAGAGTTAGCCAATAAGAGGCTAGAGAAAATGGGCCAGGCAGTCATTTAATCAGTACTATTTCTGTGTGATTATTTCAGGTGTATTTCGGGTGTAAGCTAGCTGGGCGGGATGAACAAAGAGCTTATAGCTAGACAGGATGACAAGCAGCCCACTCCTCCAGTTACAATAGTCTGGGCCCAGGCAGGGCAGTGTAACCTGTAATTTCAGAACCCTGGAGATAGAGGCAGAAGGATCATGACTTCAAATCCAGCCTGGACTTCACAGTTGAAAACATATGGTGTAGTCTAATATTTATGCAAGCTGACTTTCACAAACTTTCTGAAATGAACAAGATTACTGACGACTTCTAACCCACTGGCCATAATTTTCTGCATTAATAAAATGGAGCTGAAGAACCGGCGGGATGACGAAGAACCCTTAGTGAAGCAGCTAAGTGGCTGTGGGGTGTGTGGACGGAATGGCTGCGGGCTGCAGCACAGGTCTACTGGGACTCTCCAAATCTGGAAAAACGAGGCCATGGGAGCTGCACAAAAGGATTCTCCTCTGATTAGTCTGTGGACCTCCCTCTGTGGCCCTGCCTTCTGCGGCCCCACCCTCCTTTACAGCTTGTTGATTTGGTTACCTACCTGGAGATCACAGACAGTTCTTGGCCTGGTGATTGCTCCTCTTTTAACTTGATGTAGCATATCTTTATATGTACAACATGGTCTAACACTTTTAGGGAAAACCTCAAGTTGTTTGGAAACACTCCAGTGCCATTCCTACAACAAAATGGGATCAGAACACCACTCTGCTTAAAACTTAGGAAAGCCTCTTTGGACTTCTGGTTCAAGCTAAGCTTCCAAATGTCCTTCTTGAACAGTATTTCCAAATTCCACTCCGATGGGTGAATAGATAGAAGCTCCACATCAATCAGCCACAAGCTCCTCGATTCCAAATCCTTGGCTTTCTCTCCCTGTGTATCAAGCTTGAGCTTGTGAAGTGGTGTAGTGTCTACTTGGACACGTCTTTCTCTACCAATTAAGAAGTTCAGAAGTTAAAGAGTCACTTACTCTGAGGCACATTACTATATTGAAAAAAACCTCTTTTGTCAATATTTAAATAATTAACAAGAAGATGTGTTTGCTCTAAGCAGTAGCTCATGATTTGTGGTAAAATAAGAAGGCTGGATGGGTGAGTGTATCAATGCCATGTAAATGAGAAGTTCTTGTGATAATCTTCAAGGATGCTTCCAATGTCCCCTCCCAAACTTTGAACAATGCTTAAAGGGCCAGAAGGACTCTAGGAAAAATAACTCCTTTGAAAAGTCTCCTGTTCATTTAATGAGATTGTTTCTGTCTTATGTCTCCTTTATTTTGTTTTTACTTTTATTTTCCTAAATACAATTGACTGAAGCATGCATTTAACAAGAGGTTTACACACACGCACACACACACACACACACACTCACTCACAAGTATGGAGACACATTCCTTTACTCCCTGCACTGAGAACCAGACTGATCTCTCTTTACGTTACAGGCCAGCCTGGTCTACAAAGGGAGTTCACAGAGACACCAGGGTTACATAATAAGACTCCATCTTTAAAACAAGCAACTATGTCTCTTTCCTATCGTTCCCTTATAAATCACACCCCCTTGTGGTAATAAATGCATGTAACTTAACCCTTCATGTTTCTCTGTCAGAGAGTTTCTACAACACGGCCTACAAATCACTTTATAAAAACCCAAATAAACTAACGAAGGTAGAAAACATGCGAAATTTTAAGTGTTCTTGTGTCAAGAAAAAGAAGAAAGAAAAAAATGGCAAATTCAAACCAATGTAAGTTAAGTAAGTCACCCTTTGATCATGATCAAACGATGTCTTGGGAAACAGTGCTAGGTGAGGCTCCCGCTGTATGGACAGCCCAGAGTGGACTCATGCAGCCCTCACTGCCGCAACAAACCAGCAATCAGCGCAGCAGCTGACATCAATATGCATGGCATAGCCTCTTGCCCCGGAGATGACAATGAAGAGGACATCAGCTTAAGACAGGAACAGGAAAAACCCATGCATTCAGGAAACAAAGAAAGCACTGATGTATGGAGCAATTGCATGTGCGTTACAGCATACACACACACACACACACACACACACACACACAAACTTAGCAAGTAGAGCACACTTTGGAAACATGATAAAAATACACTGGAAACAAAGTAGCTTACCAAGTATTGTTGTGGGATATTTGATCACACTGTGTGAAGACGTGTCTCTGTCCTTCCTTGCCTGCCTAAGGTACCTTCTGATTGGCTAGTTTAATAAAAAGCTATGTGACCAATAGCTAGACAGGAGAGGATAGGCAGGACCTGAGGGCAGAGATAGGAACTCTGGGAAGGAATCTAATCTCGCCAGGAAATGCAGAAGAAGTTGGACATACAGTACTTAGGAGAGGTAGTAAGCCATGTTGCAGAAGGTGGATTAATAGAAATGGGTTAATTTAAGTTTTAAGAGCTAGTTGGGAACAAGACAACTAAAGCCAAGCTTTCATACTTAATGAGAAGTCTCTTGGTCATTATTTGGCAGCTGGCAGTCCAAAGAAAGTCCGACTACAAAGAACCTGCTGGTCGTGCATAACTGTGTGCAGTGTACTTTTTTAGGACGGTGGGCAGCAGGCTTTGTTTTCATACCAGTTACCACCTGTGAGGATGTGCTGTGCTGTGTCCTCATGGTAATGAAAAGACTTTTCAGCTCAGTTATAATCTTATGAGATCATCATCATGTATGTGGCCTGCCATTGATCAATATTATCCTCACGCATTTTAAGGCTGAAAGTTAACTTATTCTTGAATCTTTTTTAATCATTATATTATCAAATAACTCACACCACCAATTTTCTTTGGTATTTTATTTTTACTGTTCCTGATAAAACCCATCCAACAATCTCTGAATGACAAATTAAAACAAATGCAGAAACAATTACTTTATAAGATGTGATCTAATACCATGAGGTAAAGAGGAAACATGATTCCTAATGGTATTCTGCTATACTCATAGATCAAGTTGTCAGCAGATAGGCTTCCTCCATCAGCAGATGGCAGTGTGCTAAGAGAGAGTTTAAACTGGAGGTCTCCATTAATTGGAGGTCCGTCCTCTCGGAGATAGAGGAACCCTGCAGAAGAGGGAGAGGAAAGACTGTAGGAGTCAGAGGGGATGGAGGAGACCAGAATAGGGCCCACCAAATAAACAAAACAGGGCTCACACTGGCTCCACAGAGACTCAAGTAGCAAGTATAAAGCCTGCATGGGTCTGCACCAGGTCCGCTGCATCTGTTATAGCTAGTACCTTGGTGTTTTTGTGAGACTCCTAACAGTGGGAGCAAGTAAATCCCTGACTCCTTTGCCTGCTCATGAGACTCTTTACATTCTACTGGATTGCCTTGACCAGCCTCAACACGAGGGCTTTCACCTTCTCTTATTGTATCTTGTTTTGCCGTGTATGGCTGTTGTCTCTTGGAGGCCTGCTCTTTTCTGAAGAAGAAACAGATGGGGAAGTAGATCACAGGGATAGGGGAAGTGGGGGGGGGGCTAGGAAGAGTAGAGGGAGTGTAGAATCTATTTTCAACTAAAAAGAAAAGAAGAAAGAGGAAACAGTTCATCAGCTTCATAATTTTTAAACATTGACTTTATTTTATGTGTATGAGTGTTTGCCTATATGTATGTAAGTGCCCACAGAGTCCAGAAGAAAGTGTTAGATCTCCTAGAACTCAAGTTACAAATGGATATGTGTCACAATGTGGATGCTGGAAACCAAATTCAAGTCCTTTGCAAAAGCAGCAAGTGCTCATAACTGCTGAGAAATCCCTCCAGTCCAATTTCATAATTTTAACCAACCTTCTGTTTGCCTATTATAATGATTACAAATTAACACTGAGTACTGTATCCTCCAATTCACAGGAATAATTTCCCATACTAGAAAGGAAGGTGCCCGTGTTACTTTCTCCACTATTGCTATGAAAACCAGGAGAACAACTTAATGAGAAAGCTTGATCTCCTAAGTCCTTGCCTTTGGGAAGAAATCATAAGGTGGGAACATGGGCTGAAGTACTTTCTTCAGTTCTTGGTCAATAGGAAGCAGAAACGAGAACATACAAGAGAAAGAGTCCAAAGCAAGATATGGTCCAAGAGTATGCCCACCCCCAGTGACTGACGTCAATGCCCAAGTTCTGCTCCCAACCTTTCAATAATGTCACCATATTATGAATGCCTTAAATGATTAATTCATTGACTTGGTCAGAGCTCTCATGATCTCATTGTCTCTGGTATATTCAAGAAACACCCTGTTATGCCTTATTAATCTTCTGGGACTGTCTCAGTACAATGGACTGATCATCACTGTCTACTTGATAACCTATGACTTTGCAGTAGAGACTTGTAAATATCTAGAGGAAAACAGCATTCTTTCACCTATTGCCTTGGACACAGGTACACATTGTGCTATCTGGCTCTGATCCTGATGGAAACCTTTGTTTCAATAAAAACTGGCCATTCTCCAGGGAGTTGAATTAACACGTATTCCTGGCCTGGCAATCTCAAGGTATAACTGCAG